GCGTCGTCAGAGCTGTCGCTCTCTTTGGAAAATGGGATTTCCTTTATATTAGCCTTAGATAACAAATAGATGCTTGGAGAAAATAACCCCCACGGTGCGTAGTTGGGAGTATCTGGTTCTCACAAGCCAAAGGAGGTGGAGGACGCAAGAGAAAGAGGAACTGAGAATGGCTTCCCAAACGGCGCTTGACCTCCCCAGGGGAACTGAGGGACAGCCGAAGGCACACGATGCCAGAGGCTCCGAGCGCCGGATGCCCAAGGGTGGCCAGAGCGCGGTGGTGCCGGCTGTGGGGCCCCCCTGTGCCGGCGGTGACCGTGCCCCCTTCCCAGCCACGGAGCCTCTCCCAGGGCCACAGTCCCTCGCTCACCCCTCTCCGCTTTAGGACCCCCGGTGTGCCGGGAACAAGCCGTGTCTGCCGACGGAACGCTGCGGCTGCAGCCAGAGAAACCCCCGCAGTGGTGGGCAAGGGTCGAATGGAGAGTGAGCCTGGATGCAGGATCCCGGCACCGGATCCTGACGGCTGAGAAGAATAACACTGATGTCACATTGTCCGGGAGTCCTTTTCATGGGAGAGTGGATTTCCAGCAGGACACCCTGTCCCTGCGGATCAGCCCTGTTAGCACGGCAGACAGCGGGGTCTATCGGGCAGATTTTGAGGACACATCAGGCCATGTTACCAACCTGTGCTTCCGTGTGTCGGTGTGGGGTGAGTAGCCGGGTCCCCATCACCCCGTCCCCCTCTCCCCCCATCCCCTCTCACTGGCTCTGTCCCCGTAGAGCCTGTCCGCCAGCCGCGCCTGGAGGCACGCGTCCTGCACTGGGAGCAGAGCTGGTGCAACCTCTCGCTGGACTGCACCATGCCCAGTGCCAGCAGCATCTCCTACACCTGGTCCTGCCCTGGGCATCCCCTGGGAGCCCTGGAGCACCAGCCCTGGCTGCACCTGCGGGTCCGTGGGGACGCCGACCCCACCGTCTGCCAGTGCAACGTGAGCAACCCGGTGAGCTGGAGCACGGCCAGTACCAACGTTTCGGCAGCCTGCGGCCCTGTGCCCCAAGGTTTGTGGGACAAATGGGTTTTGGGGGTGTTTCTGCCCCTCCAGCTCCAAAATGAGGTTTGGGACTTAAATCCATTTGGGATGAATAAGTGGGAGATGTAGCCGGGGGCGCATAGCATCATGCAGCCGGCGTGCAAGGTGCTGCGTGGCTGTGAACCGGTGCCGGAGGCGGTGGGGATGTGGCAGGATCAGTCCCACAAGTGCTCTGAGCCTGTGCCGTGGGCACCCCGGCCTCAGTGCCCCCGGGGGGTAGGGGATGTCCCCCCCATCCCCAGCTTCTCTCTCTATTTGCAGACATTTCGTGGCCCTACTGCAGAGTGAAGGGGCTGCTCTGCCTGCTGGTGCTGGGCAGCCTGGTCGCAGCCATGGTCCTCATGCACGTCCTCGTCCGGCGGCGGCGATCCCCTTCCCGCAGCACTCCCGGCTCTTCGGGCGCTGGGTAGGGCCCCCCAAAGGGCCCCTGCTTTGTGCATCACGTCGGGCCTCAAAACTCCCCAACTAATGAGCTGCTTTTAACCGCAGAGAGCCGTTAACCCACCTGAGTATGGATTAAAGAAAAATCTACTTTTTTTCCCCCCAATTTTCTGTATTTCAGGTTCTTGAACAAGTTCTGGGCTGTTCTGTGGAGGGGACAGATCAAAGGGGCTGCAGCGGGTTCCCCCCCAAAAGATGAGGCTCTCCTCCAACAGCAAAGCTTCCCCCCACCCTAGAAGAGACCCTCGGGCCGGGGTTCTCCCTTGGGTTTTGAGCAAAGAGGGACACGCTCCCCTGCCCAGCATCCCGCCAGACCCCTTGCTCTGGGATGGAGCCGTCCCGGTGGGATCGGGATGCAGGGACTGAGGAGCATCACCCCAGCCTCGCGTTAACTCTCCTCCCCATCCTCTAACGAAGCAGCCCAGCGTGTCGCCCGCTCATCGCCGGAGGTTTATTCCCTCTCCCAAATATCTTAATGCCAGATCTCCCACATTTAGATAAACTGCAGATAGGGCTCCATGTGGAAGGAGCGTTGTGTTATCTGGGCACAGCAGCAGTTTGTTGGTCCCTTATCTAGCCCGAGCCGACAGATACCGCCTCGTTAAATCGCTGGTAGATATTAATGAGCTTGTCCTGAGAGTGGTTTTACTGCGATCCAGTGGCACTCTCGGCTTTTCCTGTGATATCAGGGATGCCCAAGCCCAGCACAGCCCCACTGAGGCCAGGCGTCCCCCGTGCCCGTGCCGTCCACTGCCCGGCAGCATCAGCCGGGGCTGGTGGGTTGCAGGCAGCCGCGGTGCCGCTGGAAGAGAGCAAGAGACGCCGGGGCCAGCGGCCCCTAATCCGATCACCCCGCCGTCTGCTTCTGCCCTCCGATCCACGCCGCTAATCACCTTATGGTAAGCTCATTGCCTCCGCGGCGGCCCCGAGCCATTCCCCAGCCCCGCTGACAGGTTGGATGCTGGAAAACCATGGCTGGGAACGGGGTGATGCATGGGATGAGTTGGGGACCAGGGGTCCCTGCTGCAAAACAGCCACCCCAGGCAGGGGCCGTTGGCTGGCTCTGCCAGGGCACTGGGCGAACGGGTGGGAAAGGGGCAGATTCCCAGCAAAAGTCTTGGAAAAAGGCCATGGCACCAGGACCAGAGAGGGACGGGATCAGCTCAGCCTCTCCGGCAGCCGGAGGGGGTTTCCTGCAAGCCTGAAACCCGCCGGCGTGCCCAGGTGTGCGCACCCAAGGATGCACGAGCCGGCAGGTCCCTGTTCCATCACCCGGCAGCGACCAGGGTGCAACGGCTTCAACCCCAGCAGTGGGGGAAACTGAGGCACAGCCTGACCCCACAAGCCTGGACGCACATCGCCGACCGAAGGGGCTCCGGCGGCTTTCCCTCCCCGCGCGGTGCCCCAGCAGTGACGTGGGACACGCCGGCTCTCACGGCCCCTTCCTCCCCCTCGCAGGCAGAGGAGCAAAAAAACTAATTAAGGCTACAAAGGGAAAAGCAGCGTTTTGCAAGGTTGAAAACCTCCGCTCCAGAGCAGGGGCTGAGCCGATTAATTAGAGCTTTTGTCTGCGGCTCTGTTCAACATGTAGGGAACAATTTACATCAAGGGGACCTTCCCTGGGCTGGAGGAGCTTTGCCCAGGGAGCGCGAGAGAGGGGAATAAAAGGGAAGGGAATGAAAGGGAAACATTTACCACGTTTCACGGACCACGTTGAGGAGGAAGGGAAGATGCTGCATACTTGAAGCACCGCATTGCAGAGGGTGTTTTTATTCAGCGCATCATCCGCGGTTTCTCATTCCCCTTCCAGCTAAATTTGGCCCGTGAGATGCGCAGGCGAGGAGGGCGGCGGAGGGCCGGGGGGGTTTCTGCGCAGGCAGAGCTGCTCGTGCGACGGCTCGGGGACGCGTGGCTGCTTCCCTGGCTCCGGCGTGCCTCCGGCGTTTGGGAACGCGGCCGGTGCGGCCGAGCCAGCTGCGTGGGGCACAGGTGATGGCACAGGATGGGAGCGGGAAGCGGGCGGCCATCCCGCACGAGGCTTTCAGATGGATGTCACCATCGGGGTCCCCGTGGGGACCCCCACAGTCCCCCCCCTTTCTCAGACAGGCAGCTTTTTAAATACTTTTCTGTTTTAATGGGCCTGCAGCCCATCCCCGCAGCATCCGACCTGCGCTCCACTTCTAAACCACAGAGGGAGGAAAAGTCATATATGTATTTATTTTTTTTTTACCCAAAACGTTCTCTCCCAGGCCGGAGCGCGGCTCTGCCCGAGAGGTGGCAGCATGCGACCGCGCTCGGTGGCAGCTGGGCTGGGTTTGTCCCTGGGGTCCAGGCCTGGCCTTGGCTGGGGTCCCTGAATCCCCCCCCAGCATCCATCCCACAGGAGCTGAGCCCTGGCTCCGTGCGCTGATCCCAGATCACTCAGGGAAGCGATAACGGTGTGGAAACCTTCGCTTTTGAGTGGGACAGGGATGGAGGACGAGTGGTGCAGGGGTTGCCTCCAGGGGACAGCAGGTTTCCACCGAGAGCATCTCAGAGAGCGCCTGAGCCTCCCCCAGCCCCAGCTAAAATTCCCCTGTGCTGGGGGGCAGCGCCTGCAGCCGCGTCCCCGTTCTCAGCTGGCTCCGATGGGAAAAGGGCTGGGATGCGCAGGGAAAGGACCCCAGCCCCAGCTCTGCCCGCACCCCCCTGGCCGCTCACACCCTGCAAGCAGGATCTTAAACCCCTGCCTCCCCTCTGCCGCCAGTCCCGTCGCCTCCGTCGGGTTATTCACCACCCAGACAAGATACCGGTGAAGTGGGAACTGCCCGTCCCGGGGCAGAGTCAGGCCCTGGCACGTCCCGGCAAACACCAGCCACCACCGCTTCCTCCATGACGCCCGTCCCACCCGCAAAGTCATCGCTTCCCTCACCCCACGAGCACCCGTGTCCTTCCTGGCAGTGGCGAGCCTTGTGCAATCCCTCTCTGACAGCGCCGTCGCCAGCCCCGGGGGTTTTCCTGCCCCTGTGGGGCTCAGCCCCATGGGTCGGGGGCGTAGCATCTGCTCAGCCCCCGCAGCCAGCCCCACGCAAGGAAGGGACATGGTCGGAGCCTGGGCCACGCTTGTCTGCTGTGTGCTGCTAGCAGCAGCCGGGGGTAAGGATGCTCCGGGGGCTGGGGCGGGCATTTTGCCGCAGGCAGGGCTGGGCTGCCAGGGCCCATGGGCTGGAGCATCCTGGCTGCACCAGCATCCATCCCTAGGGATGCTTTGGGGTGCTTTTTTGGGGGGGGGATGGAGACCAGCCTTACAATCACCACCACTGTGGTCCTCCCCCACAACCGCCTCATGGCACTTGCAGGTCTGCATCTCTGCTGTGGCATCGAGCTGCTGAAGGGGGTGAAGGGACAGTCCCTGTCCTTCCCGGCCCTGTACCCCGAAACTGCGGACGTTGCGCGGGTCACCTGGAGGTGCCGGGGGACCCACATCGCCGAGGCCAAGCCCAGGGAGAAGATGTTCACTGTCGACTACCTGCCGGAGTTCCAGGGCCGGCTGCTCATCCACCCCACCAACCTGTCACTGGAGATCAGGCCGCTGAAGCTGGAGGACATCGGGTGGTACAAGGTGGTTGTGGACACCTTGTCTGACCCCACCAACCCAAAGACTTTTACCTACTTATTGGTGGTTTATGGTGAGTCCGAGGATGGAGGGAGGAGCGTCGCGGGGACCAGGCTTGGGTTCGGTCCACCCCGGGCATGTCCCCCCGGGGGTGGGCTACCACTGCGTGAGCTCCCCAGCCCCAAGCCCCCCCATCCCACAGCATCCCCTCCTTGATCATGCGGAGGAGCCCAGGATGGGCCATGTGGTCGGTGGAGAAATTCCTCTTCCTCTTTCGGTGCCTGCGCTCACCCGCTGCACCCGCTGCACCCGCCGCACCCGCTGCCCCCCGCCACGGCTCACGCCGCACCCCGTGCCTACAGGTCGCTCACCCGAGGCGGTGACGAGGACCGACAACATGGGAGGACAGAGTGGGAGCACCGCGGGACCCCAGCGAGTGACCGAGTCCCACGCTGGAGACACCACGACTCAGGGCGCAGGCGGGGGGCCGGGGGCATGCGGGGCGCAGGACCGCTACTGCGCGGTGAAGGGGTACCTCGTGGCCGCCATCTTCGGGCCGCTGCTGATGCTGGTGGCTGCCATCCATGTTGTGACCAGGGACAAAGCCACCAAGCCGGGGGATGAGGTCTCAGCAGGGCCGAGAGTGGGGTCTGAGCCCCCCGGCATCGCTACTCCACAGGGACCATCCCCATGGCATTGATGAGCCCTCATTCGGGGCTCCGGGAGCGGTGGCTCCCCTGCCTCAGTTTCCCCAGCTGGGGAAAGCCAAGATTGTTCTAATAAAAGCCCCCGAAGGATGTGAAGTGAAACCCCGTTTCCACATCTGTTGCACAAGCAGCTGCCCCAAAATGTGACAAAGCCTCTTCCTCCCCGAGGCCACCGCAGCCCGCAGGGGGCCCAGCACCCTGCAGGACCGAACCGCATTCCGGCACAGCCCCTGCACCGAGTGTGCCGCGGCGTCAGCTCTCGGCACACCCGATCCAGGGACACCTCCGTTACCGGGACACCATCGGTTTCATATTTACGGCCCTGAATCCGGTGCAAGATAATAATTCAGCATCTCATAAAACCTTCCATAGTTTATAATAAGTGAATTATTTACTGGTGACCCTGACTAAATGCTGTGCGGCATAAATTATTGAGTGGCAGATCTGTCAAAAAGTTCTCATAAATAAGTTATCTGGTGCCGTCTTAATGTTCCCAGTAAATTACTCATTCAATCTCCCGTCTAAATGCTCTCCTGGGGAAATTACTCGCGCCTGCTGATTTATGAATTAGGCCTGGGCAAATAAGGACGATTGGAGGGAGAGCCCTGCCAGGACACCCAAGGGTTTCGCTTCGCCGTGACGTTTCATCCCGACTGCATCCCTGGTG